GGGTGCAAACTCTTTATCACAAATGTATTTATGTTGTTCTAACAAGGAAATATGAATTAAGACATTGTTTATGCTTAATGAAATAGCATTTTCCTGTATTTGCATTGGAAGGTATTTATATATAAAATTATTGCCAAGAAGGAAATCTCCATGCATATACAGAAAACATAAAATTTTTGGTATAATGAATTTGCTATCATTTAACCAAATAGCTATATTTTTAGCCTTGAATTGTATGGAAGTATGATTGCCATCTATTCCGGTAACTAAAATTGGATGTTTGATTAATGTCCATTTTTCTTTTGGTATGGCATTCCATTTACATGAGCTGACTGTAGCTCCTGTATCTATGAGAACACTGAGGCTATAGGGTTTATAACCTGCAAAATTAAATGTTCCCAATACATATGTATATCTTCTTTTTCCTTGGCTAGGAGAAAAAATAATATCATCATTTTTTGTTTGAAAATGATACATATAAGAGGACTTAATATGTTCAAGTTTTCTTTTTCCTGAAAAAATAGGAATCTGAACATTGTTTGAAGTAATAGATTCTTGATTAGAATTATTACTTGATTCTCCAATACTTAACTTTGAAAATGATTTGTTAGTAAAATCTTTTTCAAATACAGAAGTTGATCTTTTAATTTTTGGAACTGTATTTTCAATATATAAATTTTTTCCTGATGCCTACATTTGTAATTGTGCAGGTTTTTTTGTTTTATAAGATTCTCCTTGTCCCACTAGGTCTTGGATTAACCATTGTCGAGGGACTTCTAAATCGCTCAAATTCATTAGACGAGATTGTATTACCGTGTCAAATGGTCTTGGTTCAAAGATCTCAACAATTTTATTATTGTTTGATCTTGTTTTTGTTTCAGGAAATTTGGTTAATTCGTGAATTGTTTTCCAACGAATAGCCAAATCATGAGAATTTGATTTCATTCCTAATCCTTGTGTTTTAATTCTTATTCTGACTGTATCTTCAAGATTAGGATCATTTATGGAAATAAAGAAATTTGGTCTAACATTAAACCAAACTACTCCATTAGCCAAATTAGACTGAATTCCTCCAGTGATTGCTTTCATTGGGTCGGAAAATCTTTTATAAAAAAATTACTGCCAAAATATGAGTATCTATCCCTTGGCGAAATAAGGCTGTTATGGTTACTTGAATTAATCCAATATGAATGTATTGAATTTCAGGATATTTCTTTTTCCATCTTTCAACCTTTTTCTTATCAAAAAAAGGAAGATCAATATTTCCTTCTTCTGACCATTTTGCTTGAGTGTTACCACTGTATTGTTCAAACACTCTTGCTGAAAAGAAGTTAAATTTTGAAAGTTTGTAAATTTCTAGAACGACAACTTCTTGTATTTTTTCAAATTTTGCTAATTCTTCGTCAGTAAAAGTTTTTTCTTCTCTGATTACATCTCCAAGTCGAATTGCCTGTAATTCTTCTTGAGATATACTATTTGCTTCTTGAGATATTTATTAACTATTATTAGTCATCATGAAGATTAGTTCTTCATCTGAACTTTCTTCATCACTAGAAATTTCATATAAGATTTCTTCTTCATCAGAAATTTCTTCTCCATATATTATTTCAAAATCTTGTTCTTCAAGGACTTTGATCATTTTCTTTGCACTTTTTTCCCGTTTTGGGCATTCGGGTGCATAGTGACCTTCTTCGTTACAAATGTAACATTTACAAGTTTTCTTTTTTGAAACACTTGTTGATTTCTTTTTTCGAATATACTTTTTCTTTTTTGGAAAAGTTTTGTTCTTTTTCCAATGTTTCCATTTATATTTTCTACGCTTTTTGGAAAATCCTTTCCTTTTAAGAAATGTATTACAACCAATTTTCTAATTTTCTTTTAAAATTTTATCATAAAATTTTTGACCATATGGTGAGTTAGAAATTTGATTTTTTATTTATTTTTTCACCTTTGCTTCTAGACACCGATCTGCTATCAGCCTTAGAACATAATTAATGCGAAAATCAAGATTATCATATTCTTCTTTCCCCATTTTTTTGAGAAAATCAGGATATGTTTTGATACATAACTCATCCCATGGATTAGGGAGTTTATGAAAAAATTGATCTAACCAGGGTTGATTTGCTGGTGGATCAATAAGATAATAATATTTTTTAAAAGTTTGAACATAATCTTCAAAAAAACAAATATTACATAATTCTAATTTAGTCAAAATATAATTTGCATCTGCTTGCAAATTAGTATCTCCTGCAAAACCACATAAATTTTCTTTTATGATTTTTGCAAATTCAACTAAAATTGTGTCAAGTGTGAGAAAATTTGTTAACAAAGTCATTTTTTGACTTTTCCCAATTTCAGATTTTTCTCACTGTCTTAACCATTGCAACACATCTCCCTAGAGAGTTGCTGCAATATAATCAAGGAATTTTTCCTTTGACCAACTATTTTTATAATTGGTAATAATGATGGACAAGGATTGTGCCCAATCATCTATTGCTTGTGGTTGATCCTTAAAAGGAACATGAGACAAGTCTAAATAAGTACCATTTTGAGCTATTGGATACTAATGATTATTATCTTTTCTAGATATTACTGGCTCAGGTATAGGATTGGAGGTACTTCCAATGTTAATATCATTTTTAACTTCATTTGTTTGAATAAAGTCAAAATTTTCTCCATCTCCCCATATGCCAAATAATTCGGGATTAATTGGCTCTTCTGCCTTTCTTTTCCCTTTATTTATTTCTGATGAAATATCTTGATCTACTGATTCTTCAGATGAGGATGATTGGTTGTCATCATCATTAGTTGACATATTAATATCATAATTAAAGTGTTGTAAAAGGGCTTCATTTTCTAGATAAGTTTCTCTTATCTGATCCAGTAGCCTATTTCTTTCATCAATACCTAAGTCTGGGTCTTTATATAATTTTCTCCAATAATCCAATATTTCAACAATATTTTCATATTCAGTTTTATTATAGGTATTGGTTTGAAGTACCATAATATCTTCTGTACCATAAAATAGCTAGGGATGTCATTATCTCCTGGACTATTCATTCCATCATTGTTTATGAAGGATATAGTTTCTAATTTTGTCACCAAATTGTTTATTTGGTTTTTTGCTTCTTTATTTAAATCAATATTTATTATAGAACCCAAATTGTCTATTTTAGATTCTATAGACTCAACTTTAGTCTCTAGATAATTTTGATTTTTTTTTTGATTTTTATCTAATTTAGAAAACCAAGAACACATAATATCAGTAATATTATTTAAACTAGAACACACACTATTTATATTTGCAGATTCTTTAGTAATATGCAGACTATGATCATATTTATTATTAACATTATTTTTTGTATTTTCAAAGCATATTACATCATCAGAATTAATTGCCATTTTAGATTGTTGTTGGTACCTAAAACCCTCCTAGCATATTATCTGGTGCCTAAAACCTCTCTTTTATGATCTTAAAGACTTAATTATGGCCAATAGTCAAAAGATCTTAATGAGTATATGGGCTTTGACATACACTAAACATATAGGTTTTCCAACAACTATAAATGAAACAAATAATTTTGAAGATATAAAATACAAAAGATACACAAAAAACTTAGACGGAATTTTTAACTTAATTTATTTATTTACTTATTTATTTTTTATAACATAAAACACACCATACAAACTTATATATATATATCAAAAATTTATACATAGATAGAAATACTTACATAGCTTGATCTTGCTTTTCAAAGCTCTTCACCAAGTTCTGATACCAATTACAAAACTAAAAAGGAAATGAGCTTTTTACTTATGGAATTATGGTGGAGTTATAGAATAAGGAATTATGATAGAGAACTTAGAGACAAAGAAGAAAGAAAAAAGATGGAGAGAAGTTAAAGGGAATTTACATACTTCATTATGTTGGCATAAAGGCCAATATATAGACTTACAAGAGGGAAATACAAACAAAATATAACTTATTACATATCTAACTCATATCTAACTTTGTAAGACTTTTTGTCTTAAAAGTTGCCAATTTTTCTAACTCTTTAGGCAAGCCTAGTCATAGGCTTTTTGATAAATCTATCTAAAAGTAAATACAAAGAGACAAAAATAAATACAAAAGGACTACAATTATTTGTTTTTTGCTACAGTTTTTACAATTATATACACTGATACACAACCGTTGGGGAGAAACTAGCTGTTGCGGAGAAACTAACCGTTGGGGAGAACTAGCCGTTGTGGAAAAACTAACCATTGGGGAGAAACTAGACACGAAAGAGAATACAAAAACTAACCTTTGGAAGCTAAGCATTTAAAGACATAGAATTCATGGAAACAAGCTTTTATGATACTGATTTCAAAAACTAGCCATTGGGTCGATATTATAGCAAACTATGCAACAACAATATAATGGAACAACATTACAGATAGTTTGAATAATGATAGTTTATGTACTGGAAAACTACTATATTCCCTGGTTAGCATGTTGCCCGTAAAGAGAAGAAATACCTTGAAGCAATCATATTCACTTCAATAAGCATTTATTGCACAATAATTTACGAAAGAGTTAATTGGTACTTGAAGGATTTGCTAGTGCTATTATGAGCTTCTAAAACAAGTTTGTGATATTTCATAGTTTCATTGCAAGACATTGTTTATTAAGGTCCAAGCTAGTGATATTCAATGAAAACAAATATTTGGCAGAGCATTTTCAGAATCAATGATTTTTTGTGTTCAAAGGTTTCACTTGAAAAATATTTTTAAGTGCATTTTCTTAAAGTATAATGTTGATGGAGATGTGTATATTAAAGTTTTCAATTGGCACCTTTATTTGTGCATATGTTTTGGTTTTTATTGTTTATAAGGAGGTACCTTTTATCATACCTAAACCAGATTCCCTACAGCCACAATCAATCATACAAAAAGCCAAACTAGTTTTGACATTTAAATATTACAGAAGAATATGAAAATCAGACAATTGAAGACAAAAATTATTAAAAATCCCATTTGAAATACCAAACTGTTACCTTTATTGCACTACAGTCAACAGTAAGAACATAATAACACAATATTTACAAGGCCTAAGTTTATTTGTTCTAGAAAAAGCAAACAAGCATAGTTAACCTAGACATATGCTCTTTATAGAAACAAGCATATTTCATTAGAACAAAACCATACAACACTGCCACACAGATTTAAACCACAACAGCTAGGGGAAATTAACAAAAAGGGTACAGTGGACCTGTTCCACCTTCCTTGTGAGCATCGGGAATGCTGGAGTAGCAATATAGGTAGTTGGACAATTCCCAGCTCCAGTCATGCTTCCTTGACACGGACAAGCGGGGCCAACGGTTAATCCTAACATAGTGCTCCCTGATCTTCCCATCGCCCACGAAACTAGTGACAATAGAATAACATGACTCATGACCACCCCATACATCATCGCCAGGATCTGCGGTGAGGGTCCCATCTAGATGAAAGTAGCGGCGCATTGGAGGTCCAGTTCCTTTCCAAAAAGGATCAAGATTTCGCCAATATTCTGGGGCCGCCTGGGGAGAATAGAACTGTCAGATTGGTTGCTGATAAATATCAGGAGTGATAACCACAATGAAGCTCACCATAAAATTGCATGTGCATAGAGATAGATATAATTCAGGAATTTGTTCCAGCAATATGTCCAAATTCAATAGTTATTGCAGATGTTACCTGCAACGTGGATTGTTCCGGTATATGGAATGAGAAGGGGAACAGAAATGTGATACGCCACATGCTTTAAATTGTGATACCATAAGGGTAGACTTGTATAGTTTGCACTATAAAATTTAAGATATTTGTCTAGAGTAATTTTTTTAACAATTAGACGTCAATAAAATGTAGTTTTTTTTTCTAAATTAATCATGTAGCAATACATTTCTATGAGTATTGTGACTCATTTTTTATGCTTTGTCGTGACAAAACTTCACTCACCTTAGATTTTAGTTCATTAGATTTGATAAAATATAATATATTGGGGGAAAAAAAACATTTGAGATTGATTTGGATCACTAAATCTATTATTTTGGAAAGAAAGTGTATCATGATTCAGAACGTGCGTTCCAAAACATAATTTACTAGGGTATCAATGTTTTCTGGAAGGTAATTTATACTCAACTCAGCAAAGCCACATGCAACTCAATGGGGAAAACAAATGTAAGGACTGGAGGGAGAGAAATTTAAGTACCAGTAATTTATTGACAAGTTCTACAACTAATTAGAACAGATATTATTCATTGAGATAATGAAAATTATTTGCATATCATTGAATCTAAAGAATATTACCCAGTTTGCACAACTATGCCATGTGAACTTTAAAAAATCACAATAAAGAACAACTTCATTGCTGCCAACAAAAATTTTCACTGATTAAACAATTTGAGCTCGGGCCGGGGTAGCTTGTTAAAGCCCCACTTTATGACACTTCAATGATTCAACACCATGTCAATGACCAGGTTTGTGAAAGACACAAAGTGGTCATATATCCTAAAAAGTATGTCATGGACCTAACTTAAATGGCAGTGTCACGTACCTCGTTAAAGTGAAACTCCCAAACATGATCACACAGATCCTCCTTCATGATGCGGGTCTGAAATGAAGAACTTGTGCGTTAGAAGGAAGCAGAATGAAATCTTTACAGTTTGTATGTGTCAGAGAGAGAGAGAGAGAGAGAGAGAGCTAGTCATGTACCCGCTTGCCATCCATGATAGACGTTGAATAAGCGCCTAACTTTGACAACCCCCGGAGTTGTGATGAACGAGGTATGTGAGCTTTCCCAGACCATAATTCCTCACACTACAAAGAAAAGCAAAGATGTGTATGTTTGGCCCATAACACATTATTATAATTAATTTGGAATGACCTAATGTCACTTCACTCATTAGCCTTGAATTTTAAGGCAGGAAGCCCACCTCAGCGTTGGGTAAGGAAGCTAATTCCCAATTAATGAAAAACTAAGTAAAACTTTCCAACATACATGGTCCAGAGGGAACTCAATAACCGTGAGGAGTTAAGATTCCACAAAATAGACATGATTCATTGTGGTACACTGAATGACCTCCGCCTAAAAGCTAACACTAAGAGGAATCTCACATGAAAGAACAAGAAACAGAATAACACATAAAAAGACAACCTATTCAAAACATATAATCCTTAACACTGCAAAGCATATTCAATAGTCTATTAGACGGTTTTTCAAAGATTGCATCCTTAAAAATTCTTAAGACGTTTTTACCCACCATTATTACTACTGTTTCTCCATATTAGCCTTGCATCGTTCATTTTGTTTACGACAACATCATCATCTGGTATCATGTCCTTTAGCTTGCTTCATTCCCTTTTCTTTTAATGATACTCTTGTGTCTAATTCAAATAAGATGTGAAGAAGAAAATAAGGACAAAGAATAGTTGGGCTGAAGACTACACCATGTCCGGTTTTAGTGCTAATGAGCGTGTGGATTTGAGGTTGCATCAAGGAAAAGAGGGGATTATTTGTAAGTTAAACATTGAGAAGGCGTATGATAATGTTAACTGGAAGTTTTTGTTGTACTTGCTAGGGAGGATGGGTTTTAGGGACAGGTGGAGGAGCTAGATTCAGTTTTGCATATCCTCTGTGCAGATGTCGGTTTTAGTCAATGGGTCCCCAGAAGGCTTCTTTCCTACCTATAGAGGGTTGTGGCAAGGTGATCCTCTATCTCCTCTATTGTTCATTTTGGTTATAGAGGCTTTAGTGCGGTTATTGGCCAGAGCGGTGCAAGGAGGGTTGTTGAAGGCATTTGGGGTAGGGGTGTCTTCAGGAGTTCCGGAGGTTTCTCATTTGTTTTATTTGGATGATGCACCCATTTTCTGTGACTTGAAGGTTGACCAAATTGGGTATTTGAGATGTGTGCTTTTGTGTTTTCAGGCAGTGTCGGACCTTCGGGTGAACTTAGCTAAATCTGAATTGATTCTAGTGGGTGAGGTGGTAAGGACTTCGGTATTGGCAGCCATTTTGGGATGTAAGGTGGTCTCTTTACCTATGACATATTTGGGTTTGCTTTTGGGAGCCTACCTCAAGACAAGGGGGATTTGGAATGGGGTTATGGACCGCGTGCAGCAGCGGTTGGCAGGGTGGAAGCGGCAGTTTTTGTCGAAAAGTGGGCGCCTTACGTTGATCAAGAGTGTTTTGCCTAGTATCCCAACTTATTTTATGTATGTCCATGTGATTCCGATGCTAGTGGCAAAGCAGATTGAGAAGTTGCAGAGAGATTTTTTGTGGGGTGGTGGGGGTGAGGGTTCTCATTATCATCTAGTGGCTTATAATCAGATTTGTATGCCTGAGGAGAGGGGGGGTTTGGGGGTTCGACGGTTGGTCACATTTAATTTGGCCTTGCTGGGGAAGTGGTTATGGCGTTTTGTGGAAGAGAAGGAGCGTCTTTGGAGGAGGATGGTAGTAGCAAAATTTGGTGTGGGGAGACGAGAGTGGTGTTCGGGTAGAGTGGGTCAGTCTCATGGTTGTGGTGTGTGGAAGGGGACTTGGTTGGGATGAGAAGAGTTTTGGAGAAAGGTTAGGCTGAAGGTAGGTGTGGGGGATAGAGTTCGTTTTTTGCGGGGATAGGTGGTGTAGCGACTTGCCATTAGAGTTACGGTTCCCCTTAATTTTCACTATTGCTGATGATTGTGAGGTGTTAGTGGGTGATGTTAGGGTTGGAAAGGAGCAGTTGGTTGTTTGGAATGTGCACTTGCGTCGTGATGTCCAGAATTGGGAAGCAAGATCAGTTGGTGCAGCTTTTAGGCTTCTTATATAGGCTGCAGGTTGGGGGGGGGGGGGGGGGGGGGGGGGGGGGGGGGGGGGGGGGGGGAGATCATGACTCTTTGGTTGGGCTGTCCTAAATCCAAATGAATGTTCTTTGTGTTCTTGTATTTATGGTGCGCTTGTTCAAGATGTGCATGTTCAAGATGTTGATGTGGTATTTCCTTGGAAGTGTGTTTGGATGCCAGGTTCCCCATCCAAGGTTGCTTTTTTTGTTTAGACGGCAATATTGGAGCATATCTTGACTATTGATAATTTAATTCGCCGTAGGCATCTATTGGTTAACTAGTGTTGTTTGTACTGTGGGGATGCGGAGCAGTGGATCATTTGCTTATTCACTGTCTGGTTTCTCACCGTCTTTGGATGCTTGCAGTGTTGTGAAAAGCGCACCTAGGCGCAAGGCGAGGCGAGGCGAGGCGAGGCGCAGGCAGTGTGACTGAACAGGTACCAGGCGAGGCACTTTTAGTAAGGCGCGCGCCTTAGCAGCGACTTGAACCAGGCGAGAGAGGCGCAAGGCTCTCGCCTAGGCGCGACTGATTGTTTAAGAGATAGATCTGATCTAACGGCTGTAAGGGTGTGTTCGAATGGCTCGTAATCACAGAGGATTACAACTCATGTACCATATGAGCCAAATACGACTCAGATGAACCCTAATTGAAGTCGTCTCTTCCTCTTTTGCCTCGCAATCGACTTCGACTTTGACTGTTGGAGCTGGACTTCAACTGCGACTGCGACTGCGACTGCGACTTGGGACTTCGATTTCGGCTTCACAGGTCTATTCGACTTCGACTCTGTCTCCCCTTCTCCTCCTCCTTCTTCTTCTTCTTCTTCTTCTTTTTTTTTTTTTTGGTCTTCGACTTCGACTCTTCCTCTCTCTCCTTCTTCAGACTTCGACTTCAACTTCAACTCTGTTTTGCTTCTTTTTTTTTTCAATTATTTGAGTTGAGTCTCTGAAATTATAAAATTAGGGAAAAAATTACAAAAATTAGGGAAAAAAAAATTATCTGTAATATGCTATTGAAAAAAAAAACTATTTGTAATATGTAAGAGAAGAATTTATCTATTAGGGAAAAAAAATTACAAATAATTAATTATTATGAATAATTAATTATTTGTAATATGCTATTGATCTTTTTTGTTTCTTTATCTGTTAGGGAAAAAAAATTACAAATAATTAATTATTCACAAATAATTAATTATTTGTAATATGCTATTCATCTTTTTTTTCCTTTATCTGTTAGGGAAAAAAAATTACAAATAATTAATTATTCACAAATAATTAATTAATACAATGTGGTATCGATCTTTTTTTTTCCTTTATCTGTTAGGGATTAAATTTGTTTTCCATTTATTTTTTTAATACAATTATTTTTCCATTTATTAAATTTGTTGTGTAGAAAATGACATCGGAAAGAAATAGAAAAAATTGTTTTAGTACTATGAATAATTAGTCTATGTTAATTTTTCTATTTTTTACGAAAACTGTGCGCCTTACTTCAATAAAGCCCGCGCCTCGCCTTGCGCCTTGCGCCTAGGCCCAGGCCCCGAGAGACCTTCAGCGCCTTAGTGCGCCTTGAGCCTTTAAAAACACTGGATGCTTGTTGCTACGACCTTTTGGGTTAGCTTGGGTGCAGCTGAGCTCTTTGCAGGCAATTTTGCAAAGTTGGGTAAGGTGGAAGGTTGAGAGGAGGTGTCAGAAGGTTTGGATGCTTACTTTTCATTGCTTAATGTGGTTGATATTCTTGGAACGTAATAGATGGGTGTTTTAGAGGGTTTCTCAGTCCATTCCTTCGTTAGAAAGAAGATTTTTTATAGTGTTGTATAGTTGGGTTACAGTTTAGTCGATTCGAATGTGTTGGTTTTTGTAGATTTTGTGGAGAATTTGATTTGTTAGTTTTTTCAGGTCCTTGAGGCCGTTTCTTTTTGTATTCTTTGCATCTTCTTGATACGTTTTCTACAAAGTTTGGTTATGTATCAAAAGAAAAAAAAGACTACACCATGTCCAAAGAAAGGATGTTTTGAAAAAAACAAGAAGGAAGGATGTTTTGAAAAAAGTGTTTCAGATTCGTATGTAACTAACATAAATATCATTGTTTCCAAGAGCAATAATGATCACGAAAACTATGTTGCAGCATCAACAAATAAGCGATTATGTGACAAAAACCAAAAACTAAGATCAAATTCTTTTTTTTTTTTTTTTTTTTTTTGTTAGTTTATATCTATATATATACATATATATTATGTGGCGGCGGGAGAGGGGTGTGTGTACAAAAACTCCAGTTTTTAAATAGGACTCCAGACTTTGAGCTCTCCCACCTATTTCTATTAAATAGACTATCAAATGTAGGCAAACATTGTGTACTGTTTTCTAGGACTTTACCGGAGAAAAAAAAAAAAATGGATGTCCTAGTGATGAGGTGAATTTCCTACACAACCTAAGACCACATGTCTAAGTAATGACTTCAAAACTTCACAGCCTGTAGACGTAATGCTAAAAACTTTTACACAGATTTTGATCCTCATCTTGCAAGAAATGTAGATCAAACTCAAGATTCTAATCATAAAAGAAAGCCAAAAAAAGGGATAAAGTAAAATACATGTCTTTAATTGAATGAAGATACAAAGACGAAGAAAGATATTTGAAATATCAAGGACTTCAATCCAGAATACTATCGCAATCATCACCAATATCATCCACATACACATCAACAATATCCTACCAAATGATCTACCCCACACCTCTAGAGACCAAAGTCAATCATAGCAATCACTAAATCTTCCAAACCAAGCACGAGGATATTGTTTTAGTCCATATAATGAATTTTTCAAACAACATGCTAACATTGACACCCATTGAGAAAGGTTACTCCATGTAAACCTGCTTATGGAGATCACCATATAAAAAGGGGATAAATGGACATATGAAACAAAATTAGAGATAGGATGCAAAGTACAAGTTCTCTTACCCTTATCGAACAGCAATGGGAAGATATAAATCATGTGGTGCAGAATCCAGTGGACTCTCTCTCTCTCTCTCTCTCTCTCTCTCTCTCTCTCTCTCTCTCACCTAGCCATCTCTGGAACGCCAACTTAATTCCTGCCAGCATAGTTCCCATAAGGCTCCATCCAATGTGCTGACTCAACCTCCATTCTCTACACCCTCTAAACTTAAACTCAAAGGAAACTCCAATTAGGATTTCACACCAATGAGTAAAAAAGCTAGCCACGCTTTTTACGAAAAGATGTGCAAAAAGTAGAGAAAAAAAAGAATCTTTGACTTTTTGGTATGGGTTGTTGGCTTTTTGGCTAATTTAGTAACTTTTTGATTTTTTGGCTAAAAATGAGGGTTCCCATACGAGGCCTTAAACTCAAAGGAAACTCCAATTAGGATTTCACACCAACGAGTAAAAAAGCTAGCCACGTATGAAGGAATCAAAGCAACAAAACACAATAAGCCATACTTGCAGAAAATCAAAATAAATTCTCAAATTTTGTGGACCAGTGTAATTATTTAAAATAAAAAATTACAAGCATACAAGCAAGGTCTTAAATATCGCCCACTACTTATTGTATTGGCCATTATGTATTCAAATTTTGGACTTCCAATACCATTATTCATCAATATATTGGCCGATATATGACTCTTACCGCTGAACACCAATACATATCCTGATTTTGTTATTTAAAACCATGCATACAAGTGAAGCAAACCACTTCACAAAATGCTACTAAATGGACCTCAACAATAAGAAAAACAGCAGTAAACTCCGCTGGCTATAAACCAAGCCAAGAAATAAAATAAAAAATTCAATTCCCGAAAATAATCCCCAACTAGGTATTAACAATATCCTGCATAATTGTAGCTCTGTGGAACACCAAATGAAGCACAGCAACAAAAATCAGCAAAACCCTAAATGGGCATGCATTCAATAGCAAATTAAAACCCAACATTCAATTCTCTAGGGCTAAACTGACATAAAGCCGCAAATTAAAACCCAATAACTCTCTAGAACAAAAGTGACCCCCACATTAGGCGCGCGCACACACACCAAAACCCAATTGTCGAATCCTCTCTAAATCGAAAACACAGTTAGCCTTATAAATTAAAGCACAAAACCCAATTGTAAAACATAAAATAAAATAAAAATCACTTCAAAATCATCAAGAAACCAAAATTGACATTGTTAAGCGAAACCCAAATGCAGGCAAACCTTTCTTTTCCAGAGGCTGTCGCTGGAAGCAACTCCGTACCATGTTCGTGAGGTAAGGAGTGATAGTGCCACGCTGGGTGCGTTGAGATGGCGCAGAATCATGGTCATGATATCTGAGCCAAACACGGTCAGAGGGTCCTGAAGCAGAGCCTCCTCTGTTTTCAGTTCTCTGGAAGGCTCTCTTTTCCTCTTCTTTCTCTTCTTCCCCGTCGTCTCCATCACTTTCCCTCTCCTATCAACATCATGTCCATCATCATTCGACACTTCAATCTCCACAACTGGGTTATTCTTCTTCGAGTTCCCTTGTTCGAATTCTCTATCATTAGGAGGCTCACTCATTGCAGCTAAGCACCCCACCAAATACGAAAGCGACATACATGTACACTATATATATGTGTCTGTCTGTATATGAGGAGAGACAGATTGCAGATGTTTGTTCCGTTAATGGAGAGTGAGGCAGTATGAGAGAGAGCAGTGTGAAGTGAAGTTCTTGTACACATTCATCAGATCATCAGATGACATTATTTTGGAGGTTTCTGGGATTTTGTGCACCGCAGTTTTGATGACGTGTCTAAATCAGGATGGGCTAAGTTGGGAGGTGAGTTTGACGTGGCATCATGGCAGAATTAATTAAGGTTTTAGAGCATAACTCTTTCTATCAACTTATTTAAATTTCATCTTTAAATACTATTAAAAAATTGATTTCTTATTTTAAGGATTATTTTTTCATCTACCTTGTTCAACAATCTTTTTATTCTTTTTTTTATTTTATTAAAATAATTTTTTTAATTATTTTTAAATTTAACATTTTTTAATAATAAAATAATTAAACAACATAAAATAAAGTTAAAAATAAAACTTAAAAGCAGTGCTTGAGCAAATGAAAGAGAGAGAGAGAGAGAGAGAGAGAGAGAGAGGGGTGTGAAAGCTTAAGCAAATAAGAAGCCCCAGTCTCAAGTCCCAAAGGCAGTGCTTAAGCAAACGGTGGCTCAAAGCAGATAGGGGTAATTATAGAAGAAAGCAATAGAAGTAGAAGTTAGGGGCCGAACGCCCGGGTGAACGACCGTTTAGATTATTTTTGAGCATTTTTCTTCTTTAGTTACAAGATATTCATGGACATCCGAGGAATGTCCGAGTGGACGTCCGAGGGACATCTAGGAAACTTTTCTTTCACGCCTAAAATGAAATAAAATAATAATTTATCAGATATAAGGAAGCTATAGTGACTCTCTACAAATAGGGAGTTACTGTAGCAATTCTAAATTTATGGAGTGGTATAAGAGATCTATTGGGAATCAGGATCCCTTCGGAATCAGGATCCCTTCTTTACATTTCCTACTTGTAGGGCCATTGGGCCCACTTTTAGGCCCAATTTTGATAATCTGAACCGTTCATATTTTAAAATTTGTTCAGTATGTCATACCTGTAAAAAATCAAGTTAATCGGATATCAGAAAGCATGTGTTCGGAAAACTTGAACTAAAAACTATTTTTTTAAAGAATTTAATAAATAATTTTCCGAACACATGTTTTCTGGTATTCGATCAACTTGATTTTTTACAGGTATGATATACTGAACAAATCTTAAAATATGAACGGTTCGAATTATCAAAATTAGGCCTAAAAGTGGGCACAATAGCCCTGCAAGGAGGAAATGCAAGGAGAGGATCTTGATTCATCTATTGGAGAAGAATTTGTGAAGAATTAACTCCTTATAATAGCTTTTTGCTATTATAAGGGAATTGATATAGATGCTCTTATAAGACCATTTCTCATCATTACCCAAATCTTTTATCAAATTTAAATTTGATAATAATTTAATAAAAATATTAATTATTTTATTAAATTAGTATTAAATAAAGGGAGTCTTATTTTTTTTTCATTAAACAAAAGAATCATTTAACCTTTCATCAAATTTTATAGATGACCAGATAGATAACCGGTCGGTCAGCCGAGTAAACGATCGGCCGAACAACCAGGTAGACAATCAGATTGTGAAAAATTTGAACAAAATTTACTCTAGATCGAACGACTACCCAAACATCCTCTCAATTGTCCTCCCTATCGACCGATTATTTGATAAAAATTTAAAATTTAACGTACAACTCAAATTTGAAATGAAAAAAAGGAAAAAAGAAAAAAAAGCAAGGATTAGATATGCTCCAAAAAGGTCAGATCCCCGCTGTTGAGATTTGTACTATAATGTATTATTCAGACTAGTGTGGTCTCTATTTGGATAATTTAAATAGTTTATTTTGTATAATTATTTATTTATATTATTTTTATAAAAAAATTTAAATTGATACAATAATCATAAGATATTCAATTTATTTTGTTTATTATAGAAAAAAATGATAAATTGAACTCCGTAAAAAAAGTTATAGAACTTGATGAATGATTAAAAATGTATAATTATTTTATTATTTTTAATAATTAATTGCACTTTATTAAATTAATTTCCTTAATTTATTTTTAATTGTGAATTTAATGATATAATTTTACTACTTGTAGAATAATTCACAATTAGGATAAAGATTGGGTAAGATGACGATTAAGGGGAAAAAAGAAAGCAAATTGAAGTCAAACTTAATTCTCAGCAGAAAATATCATGAGGCCAATCGAAAGGTGGTTTGTTACATCAACACAGACAATAAAAGGATGACGCCAATCCGCTCAATCCACATCCGTCGGATTGGCGGACGGATGCGGATTGATTTTCTCCAATCCGCCAATCTGGCGGACAGATAGCGGATTGGAGGTTTCGTGGCCGCAACCGACCCGCGCCCACCCCTAGAATGAAGCGATAAAGAAATCTTATTAGATGGATAGGAACTTGCCTCTATTTATGCATCAGTAATCACTATAAATACATTTGGGTTTCGTTTGGCGAGGGCTTTTGTGGCTATTTTAGTCACAAAAGACAAAATATGTTATTTTAGTCACAACAAACAAAATATCACATCTAACCCACAATCATTACACTCTTCTCTCATAAAAAAGTTTAAAAAGTCAAAAAGTCCTTCTCAAACCAAGCTTTTTAGCCTAGGTTAAAATAACCAAAAAGTCAAAAAATCAACTCACTTCTCAAACGGAGGCTGAATCTGTTGAGAATGGGGGAGGAATTCGGGAAGAAAGCACTTTTTAATACACATTATTTTTCTTTTGTTTTTATGATGTTCTAAATTTTCTTTGTTGAGATTAGGGATGAAACTCCAATCAGCTTGCTTGGTTGTGTTTTTTCAAAAACACTTTTCAGAAAATTCTACTTTCTCGTTTTTCATGTTTTTTTGTTTTTACTGAATTTTTTTAATATTTTAAGCAATTTTTTTTTACTTTTTAGACATACCTAACATAAATATATCATAAATATACCTAAAAAGTAAAAAATTTATGAAAAAAATCTTTTAAAAGTTCACTAAATACCAAAAATATAAAAAAAAATACGATAATTCAGTACATTTTTTGTATTTTTATGAATTTATTAAATTTTTAAAATATTTTTTCACAAATTTTTATTTTTTAGATACATCTAAGTAAGGTATATCTAAAAAAGTAAAAAAAATGTTTAAAAATTTAAAAATAAAAAAACACGAAAACCAAAAAACTGAGTTTTTAAAAAACTTAATTCAAAAAATTCAAACCAAACACACTGAATGTTTTCTTTGTAAACATTTTATGATTCAATCATGACTTTTAATATCAGATTATTTTAATTGATTGATTTATTTGGAATTTTTTTTTTATTTTGTATAATATCTTATTCTATTGTAGATTCCGGACACGACAAAAGCTTGATATTCCCTACGAATCAAATAACTAGATTGTTATAGTGTAGTCAATCAGTGAAAGTAATTAATTTTTTTAAAATTAATTTTTATATGGAATAATCATTTTTATCTTCCGATTGAAAATACTCATTTGTGTATGTTTCAATTGAGTTATATAAATTGAATTTAAAATTTTTTTAAAAAGTATTGGTGGAGAATCTTTGATGCCTTAGCACCCTTTTTATAATCACCTTTGTTTTATCTTTTGATTAATTATTTTTCTCAAATTATTCAACCATTTCAAAAATTAAAATCATATTTTTCTTTACTTTATTTGAGTGTTCGGCAATTATTTTGAACAAATTGGCCCTTATGGATTCGACCTTGGACTCACCGAATTATATTACTTCGCGACACCTTGCACTTGGGATTACAATATAAAAGTCACAGCAAAGCTCAAATTATCAAGTTAGTACTCATGGTGAAACTCACGGGACCGAACATCACCATTCAATCCAAATCATAGATTGGAGGGAATCACAACCCTTACAAAAAGAGTTCTATTGACAAGAAAAAATATAAAATATTTATAATATCAATATATTCTTTACATATACCAAAACACTCCGCACATTTTTATATATTTCAATACACTTTCAAAATAATTTTTTAACATTAATAAGCCTCCGTTTGGGAAGTGGGTTGGCTTTTGATTTTTTGATTTTTTTGACTATTTTAGCTTGGGCTAAAAAATTTGGTTTGGAAAGAGCTTTTTGACTTTTTTTATGAGAGAAGAGTGTAATGATTATAGGTTGGATGTGATATTTTATTTGTTGTGACTAAAATAGCCTATTTTGTCTTTTGTGACTAAAATAACCCTAAACCCTCTTGCCAAAATAGCCTATATACTTTTTTAAACATTTTTCTTATTAAAAATGTAATAAATCTTATAAATTTAATATGATTACATTGATTTTTATTTTAACAATGTTAGACAATCGAATGTGACACAAAAAATTTAAAATATTTTAGTATCAAAATATCTTTTTTTAGTAATATTGCTATGGAATTACTAAAAAAAATAGCTAAATATGGTGTAAATTATTTTTTTTATAAAAAAAAAAACTGAATATAATTTGACGTGTATAAGCCCATAAAGGCCACGAATCACTATGAACAATCCAAGCCCATCACTTGGAGCCCAATGCATAACCCAGCTGGTGAGGTCCAGGACAGCTGGAGTCTAACATAGCATAAAGAGCCAATGACATTCAGACACACGGCAGGTGAAGGACATGCCACATCAGCAGACAAAAATCTGCAAAGTTATTGCCACTGCACATCACCATTAATGCAGCTCATCACAGCATTTATTACGACAACACCTCTCCATCGGAACAGGACCCTTTTACCCTGAGCAAGGTAAGCTACAGCATAGACTTTTGGCGAGGAGGGCAGGTCGGAAGGGACAGCGAAATGATTACCAAAGGATATAAGCAAACGTCGAAGACAAAAAGAAAGTTAAGCTTTTCTATCTCTAATCTCTCCTCTATACTCTACTTTTCTTCCTAACTTGCTCGTCGGAGGGTTCACTGGGGGACTACCTCGTTCCCCGTTGAACTTGTTTGCAGGTTATTCGGTGAGCTTGATCATTTGGACTTGGGCTTGAGGAGCGTGGACCAGTCCGATCCATTCACTGGGATAAACTGTATTATTAGTTGGTGCCGTCTGTGGGAAAGTGGTT